GCACACGGTGAGCTAGAGAAGCTACCCAAGGAGATTGGGATTCCTAAAGAAAAGCTATGCAGACTCATGTGAAGGCCACTAAGGTGTTACAGTGAACATTGTAACATCCTGTAGTACTCCGGTTGTTAACATACATGATATTTAACATTCACAGCGGAAGACTTTATTTGAAAAGGAATAAAGCATCTTATAAAAATACGAGTAAACTTTTTCCAAAACATTTCATAAAAACATTTCTATAAGCGTTCACGTCAGATACTGCGAAAGCGTAAATCTAAATATACATCTACTAATTAATCCCATGAGCCTGTATTAGTGGTCATTGACCATCAAGATATGACATCAAGTGTCATTCCTGACGGAGTCTCACGGACAGCATAACGGCTGTATTTCGGATAACTAGAAACATGATTCTACACATACAGATAACCTAATTAATACAACAATTTAAACAGATAGCTTGCAAGTCCCACACGGACTGCAATCCCCTTAATGGGTCAATACAACTAATAAGGCTCCATGCCCAAATTAACTGAATACATGCATCAAGTCTATATTAATTCGAAGTATAAAAGTATCGGTAAATAATCCATGGCTCTAAGAATACTATCATGAGCCTAAATAAATACATACAATAATCTCTATAAAATAATTAAGCATGTTAACAAGTCTACATGCCAACATCAAATCTAAACATAATATAAAATCATCAGCTGCATCATCAACTACTCCAATGCGGGGGCCTTGCCCCTAGAAGCATCACCACTACTCTGGGTACCTGAAATGATGTCCCCAAACGGGGTAAGATAACAACATCTCAGTAAACTCAAGGTTCATAGAGGATCCTCTAACCCCTGAGCCCACTTCCTGCATAACAAGTCAGATATAAAGCATATAATACAGACATACAGCATAAACATAGCATCATCATATCATCCTTGTGTAACCCTAGGGTCAAAGCCATAGACGGTTACACATGTGTGACTTCCAGGGTCAAGCCATAGACAGTCAACACAACCTCAGTATGAAATAGCTCCCAGAGTCAAGTCATAGGCAGCCTACATACCATGATCACTGGCCAGGATCCTCATAACATATATCATCAGTGCATCATCATAACATCAAGATCATATAACATCTATATGAATGTGAATGAATGCACATATACATCATACCATATACTTTCATACAATATAACCATAATGCCCACCATCATGGTGGGGCCACAAGAGAGAGGAGTCAACTAGAACTAGGAGCTTACCTTAGGGAGCTTAGCACAAGCCCACACTCCAATATAATACGTATGCTCCAACAAAATCCTCAAGTGCACGGTTCTCTAGGCACACCTAGAGTAGGAACCATTCACATCATTAATTACATATTAATTAATCAAGTCATATCCACGACTTAATCATTTAATGATTCCACTTTTCATACTCATATGCCAATAATATGCCCATTACAAGCCTAGACCAATTATAACTTATTACATATTTTAGTGCATTATTACAAGCCACTTTAATCTTCAATTACTTACATAGCTTAGAATCACATGCAAGGCTCACTTAGATTATTTTCAACTCATCCAAGTCATATTTATGATTATTATAAGTTACTAAGGGTTCCCATAAGCCCACTTAGCTTAAATATCACTTTTACGGTTTTTCCATAACTGTACATGCTTCTGTTTTCTAGTTACTGGGCGTGACTCACTTGTTATAAAATTCTCATCTTTTAGTATGTCAATCTAGACTCAATTACCTTTCCAAAAAGGTATCATATGCCTCATTTGAAGTTTCCTAGCTCCGGTTATCACCATTTGAAGTTGGACAAACAAAGCTGTTTGCCAACTCCGAACAGGGCCCTAAACATCCTTTACCATTTCTGCGATTATGAAAATTATACTAAATAATTTGCTCTAAAATTTTTATGTAGACAACTAGCACCTTTATCTTTAATTAGACATATTATCAGCCTAATTTGACTAATAATTGAGGGAGAAAAAATTCATGGAAGTGTCAGCCATGTACAGCGCCCCTGCACATGCCTCCCTGTGCAGTCCTCACTCAAACGAACATACAGAATGGAATATATCTTCAATTGATACCAAATTTTGACACCACGTAGATAACATCTCAATAGTCAATTTGATATAAGGAACATTCCTATATGATCTCTGTGGAGGAAGATATGCTCTCCCCAATTCTGCCTAAAAACTGGTTACTTAGCCTTAAATGTGTTTACTTAACAAACCTTAATTACTTTTGATTATAAATCCTAATTCACATTAATTCTTGGATTTTTCTATTATTAAGTCACATTATGAAATATCCTTAGTCCCATTATGTCATGATACTTAAATTTTACTAATTGTTTAATTAGTGTACCTAAACCTTACTTTAGTCCAATTTTAGAGTTAAATCCTTGATTACTTTTGTTAATTAATCTCTACCCTTAATTAATCACCTAATTCATCATCTCCTTAATTTTAACACAACTAAACCCTTATGTACTTTATGGGGCAGATTTGATTAGCTATATTAATTAGGATTTTTAGCCATTATTAATCATGATTAGAGAGTTTTACTTAGAGTTAACCCACCTAGTTAATCTTTCTAATCATTTTTCCACACTTAACAACTTAATAACATTTTTTTGTCATCAAACCCTATCCTTACATGATATGGCTGAAATGTTCATGGTCCATTTTTGAGTTCATAGTCATCTTTTTACATGAACATCACTCAAAGGTCCAAAGGTGGCACCTTTAGTCATCCAATCCATCATTCCATGGTTCCAAACACACACACACTTAAGAATCATCATCAAACCATGACATTACGAAATTTTAAACAACATTCTCCTCATGAACATATCAAAACCAAGGCACTCAACAAGAAAAAGGGAGGCTTTTTGGTTCATATTTCCCAAGTGGGAGCTTACATCTTCAAGGTTTCTCCTTTAGCTCAAGTCTCCACCTTTTTCCACCAAGAACACACCTTTAGGCAAGCACACACCTTCATGAACATGCTCATGAGTTAGGCTCAAGAACATAAGAAGAAAAGATGATATTTTTCATGAAAAAAATTTAAGAACACTTACCCAAAAATCAAAGGAAACAAGCAAGCAAGTGTGATTCTTCAAGAGAGCTCAAGAACACAACTCCATAGCCTTTGCTCTCCACAAAACCATGGCTGTTTGGGATGATAAGGGACACGAAATTTTTGATTCACACCATGAAAATGGTATGGTTGTGAAGAGGAGAGTGAGGGGAACAATCTTTGTGAAGGAAGTTTGGTGGTTTAGAGAGATTTAGGTGAAGAAATCTTAGAGAGAAGTGAGAGAGTTTTCAAAATTTGAAACTTAGAGAGAGAAGGAGGTGAAGGGGCTGCTGATCAGAAATGGAAGGGAAGGAGAGGAGGGTGCCCTAATGAGGGGTGCCATGTCACTTAAGTGATATTCGTCCTTTAGTGAGACCCGGTGTAATTTTTAACTGATCCGTCGTCAAATTTTTACCCGAAAACTCTCAAGACCCTAAGTTTAAGTACTTAACATTAATTTTGTCTAATTATCATCTTAATTATGCCAGCCACCACTGAAGGACATCAAATAAATTGCTTAACCGTACTTAGCATTGCCAACCACTGAATACATATAGCTTGGATTCTGCAAAACCGCAGGCACGTAATGATGAACTATTGCATTCACAATATGATAAAGTCTGCAGAAAATCTGATATAAACCACTACTTTATATGCCATGGTTTAATTTGGCTATTTTGGAAGGAATTTCTGCATCCAAAATCACAGGATTCAGAAATTCAAGATTTTATTGAACTGGAAGATATGAAATTTATGATACATTACTGATCATAACCAACAAGCTTCAGCCAAACGTTACAAAACAGGATTGCTTATTAACGAAAAAACAGAAAAAACAGGATCTACGTTTTAATAAAACTCAAAAGGAAACAAAATCAATAACCTAGTAATTCAAGAATCAAGTTTGTACAAACACTACACTCTAAACAGAATCCAGCAACCTTGAGCTTCTCTATCAAGATTTGCACATACTTTTCTTTCTTTTTCTTTCCTCAAGAATCCACTTTTTCTTTAAAGATTTCCAATCGGTCTCAAATTTCTCACTAACCCTCCTTGCAATCATGTGAATCTCACTCCTCCAAGGGTATAGCAATGCATAAGAAATTGCAAGCCTCATATCATCTGCAAATTCCTTAGGTTTGGAATACAGATAGTGGTTCAATTTGACCTCAATATCCTTCAAACCTATTGGCTTTGATACAGATTCAGGGTTATCAAGAAACTCCAAGACCTTAACATCAAGAGCTTCTTTGAAAGCCCAAGCATCTCTTCCTTCCTTCAACCTTTTCATGATCACCCAACATTGCATTTTTTTGTATCTGTCTATGCTTTGTTTCTTCTCTTTCTTGCACTCTGCACCTTCCTTCTTCAACTCACAAATTTGGGAAGCTGCTCTTGACATTCTTTTGGAGTTTTCCGGTCCGAAGCACCTTCCTTCTCTTGCACTTTGCACTCTGCACTTTGTTGGTCGGTGTTCATGTTCAGCCGTCGTTCTGTTCATTCTCAGTGGCGGAGAAATTTCAAAAGCATCTTTTCTCATTTTCTTGGAACGATGATCAGCGATGATCTCCGTCTGTGGGCAGTCTTCTTGAACCGTTCTTGAACGCTTTGCACCAAGCTTAATCACAAGTGACTTTTGGGATTCAGCCATTGAAGAGAGTTTGAGTGGAAAACACAAGAAAAAAGAAAACAGGATTGGTGGAGGGTGTTAACCAGGAAACAGGATTTGGTCTGCTAAGGGTGAACGGTGCTCTGTATGTTTATATAACGAGGAAACAATGGAGAGAATTAAACCGTTATAAATGTAATCTTTTAAATCTTTTTAAATCTAATCTTTTAAAAATATTTATTAATTATAAAATTATATCTAATCTTTTAAAATCTCTACATCACTTCAATAGTTACAAATGTAATCTTTTTTTTTTTTTGTAATCTTGTGCTCTGTATCTTTAATATGTAACCAGGAAACTGTATCTTTTAGTTTTTTCGTTATAAATTTTTTGTTTCTAAATTTTTTATACTTTAATTAAGTTTTCAATTAGATATTTATTAATTATAAAATTATATCTAATCTTTTAAAATCTCAGTATTTCCAAAAAAAAAAGTATTTCCAAAAAAAAAAAAATCTCTACTTCACTTCAATAGTTACAAATGTAATCTTTTTTATTTTTTTGTAATCTTGTGCTATGTATGTTTAATATGTAACCAGGAAACTGTATCTTTTAGTTTTTTCGTTATAAATTTTTTGTTTCGTTATAAATTTTTTGTTTCTAAATTTTTTATACTTTAATTAAGTTTTCAATTAGATATTTATTAATTATAAAATTATATCTAATCTTTTAAAATCTCTACTTCACTTCTATAGTTACAAATGTAATCTTTTTTTTTTTTTTGTAATCTTGTGCTCTGTATCTTTAATATGTAACCAGGAAACTGTATCTTTTAGTTTTTTCGTTATAAATTTTTTGTTTCTAAATTTTTTATACTTTAATTAAGTTTTCAATTAGATATTTATTAATTATAAAATTATATCTAATCTTTTAAAATCTCTACTTCACTTCTCTACTTCACTTCAATAGTTACAAATGTAATCTTTTTTTTTTTTTTTTTTTGTAATCTTGTGCTCTGTATCTTTAATATGTAACCAGGAAACTGTATCTTTTAGTTTTTTCGTTATAAATTTTTTGTTTCTAAATTTTTTATACTTTAATTAAGTTTTCAATTAGATATTTATTAATTATAAAATTATATCTAATCTTTTAAAATCTCTACTTCACTTCTATAGTTACAAATGTAATCTTTTTTTTTTTTTTTTTTTTGTAATCTTGTGCTCTGTATCTTTAATATGTAACCAGGAAACTGTATCTTTTAGTTTTTTCGTTATAAATTTTTTGTTTCTAAATTTTTTATACTTTAATTAAGTTTTCAATTAGATATTTATTAATTATAAAATTATATCTAATCTTTTAAAATCTCTACTTCACTTCTATAGTTATAAACATCACTTTACATTTTTTAAAATGTTAAAAGAGTACATCATTTGTTATAAACATCATTTATTTTTTATATATATATATATATATATATATATATATATATATATATATATATATATATATATATGATGTAGCGTATTATTTATTTACATTTTTTATAATGTTAAAGTGTAATCTACCAAAAATTAAAAAAAAATGTTACAAGTGTAAAAATGTAGTAAAAAAAAGCTATGCAAACTTATTTAAAATTTCAGTATTGGTTGATTTGTAGCAACAAAATAATTGAGAGGGCTATAAAAAAATCTTGTTTAACTAATTTGTACTGAAAAAATTAAACTGTTAAAATTTTTACATATTCTGAAAATATTACTGATTAATAAAAATCTCCATGGTAAGTATTAACGAATAATAAATATCATTTTCAAGAAAATAATAAAAAGTGAGGAGTTCTATTTTTTTATATAAAACTAACTGTTCAAGTATAAATAGAAAAATGATTTAAATTTTGCTTATATTTCACTTGTATATTTGTGTGCAAATATCATTTCATTAAAAAAATTAAATTATAAATAATGTATATCTATTTAAATTGATTTAATTTTTAATGTACGAAAATAATTATATAAACAATTGTGTTATCTAATTGTTTAATTCAACGACAAGTTGTTTTTAAACTTAATTAAAGATCAACCACGAAATTGTAGTATATAATTTATTTTATTATATTTTTTAACTAGACTTAAATTTAAAATCACCAGATAATTTAAAATAAACAGTCACTTACCAGTTAACAGATATATTTTAAAGCTATCCGGTGAGTAAATGCATATCACTTGTAAGTGTTGTTATCAGCTCTCTACCCCTAATTCTCTTCTTTGTTAATACATATATTCTAAAATATAGATTTTTTTATGTTCATTATTAAAAAAAAAAATTATTTCATGATAAGAATTTTTATAAAATTATGTTTGACTGAATTTTTATAAAATTATGTTTGATTAAATTTTTATATATAAAAAGAAGAGAAGTTAAAAATAAAACTCACACACAAAAACTAAAGCAAATATCAAATTATTTATACAAAAGAAATATATACTTAAAAATCAAAACATGTGTCATTTTGCAATTTTAAATTGATTTCATTTTTAATGTACAAAAACAATTATATAAACAACTGTTATCTAATTGTTTAATCTCATCGATAAGTTGTTCTTAAATTTTTTTTTTGTTCCATAGTTGTTCTTAAACTTTATTAAAGCTCAAGAACGAAATTGTAGTATTCAATTTATCTTTTACCAATTAATTTAAAACAAAATCATTAACCAGTTAACACATGTATTTGAAAGCTATCCAGTGAATAACCACACTTCACCTGTCAGCATTGTTATCAACTCACCACCCCTAATATTATTCTTTGATGAAATTATTTAGTTATCTACCCCAAATTTTCTTCATAATTTCATCATTAAATTTAGGGGATAAACTTTTGTTATAACCAATTAAAACACTCAACTATATTCAAATATAGTTATCAATAAAAATTATTGAAAAGATAACATTTAACTAATTTTTATCCCAATTAATTAATAGTTTAAACATTTTTTTAAATTAAGATTCCTAATTTAAATTTTTACCCCAAAGTTAAAGTGCTTAATTAGATTTAAAAATAAAATAAAAATCCTTTTAACAACACATCTAAATATACTCAGACTTTCTTAATAATTGGCATATCATCACTAACACTTTGCTGTCCACCTTGAAAAACATCATTGCTAACTCCAAACACCGTTCTTGACATTAAAAATGCAAAACGGAAAATAATCTTCTTAAAGTAGCTTAATCAATAGACACGAAAGACATGAGGCACAACTCGAAGAACAAAAAACCAAAAAACAAAAACAAAAATTAAAGATAAATGAGGGCTTAAAGACAAGTACATGTTTCGGTTTGTCCATAACAAAAATCGGTATCTTTGAAAATGAGATTCTTGCACCCAGATCATCTAAGGTACATAACAGACAACATCAAAATTTTGATACTACAGTGCATAAGTTAATTCATTCTATTGATTAGTCTTTTAATCCATCAGCTGGCTTGTTGAGTTCAAAGGGCCACATAAATTTGACAACTTCCTTAAAGTGCGGACCAACATTATCAATTTGATGCACCATGTCTTCTGTGCATACAATGCCAAATTTTCCTAATTCCTCCTGCATGGCAAAATGGGAGAATTACAAATGCAATTTAGCGGCAAAGTCAAAGGAAAACAAGGAATCCAACAATACAATATATTACCTGCTCAATGATGTTATTATCCGT